TAAAAACTGATTAACAAAACGGTGTTCATTTTTAACTGATATTATAAAACACGCATGAGATATGAAAGTTAAAGGGTTGTGGGATCGAAGTGGGACTAAGTAAACAAGGGCTTATGGCGCACTGGATTTTATCGCTGTCGTTTTAAGGTAAACGGGCTCAGGTGTATGCAGTTCATTCAGTAGATGTATGGAGCTGGTTGCGCACTTCAGTAAAGTTTATTTGAGAGACACGCGACACAGTAGAGAAAACCTGTCTCACACTGCCCCTGTTCTCCTGCTTGATCCTGTGTACAATGCCTGTGTTGAAATGAGTGAGGCCCTGCTAAAGGAGGGGCATATTTGTATTCAGTCTATAGAGGCCGAGAATGAAAAGAGGCCAAATTTTAGCGGTGTTCCACTGATCTTTTCTTTTGCTCTGATTTGTAACTACAGTGTGCATGAAAAGACTCCTTTCAGTTATAAACTGAATCAACACTAGTTCCCTCTTCATCCTGCTATGAAATGGTAATCAGTCAACTTCTACAATGTCCCTGCTATAACCCTTTTACCAACCGGACATTTAATTTAATTTAACGGGCTTCTGAAATCCAAGGCTGATGTTAAATTTATTGCCTTCGCAGAACTAAACCACAGCCGTGAAGTCCCTCAGTCGAATGAATTGAATTGGCAGAGTTGTGTCAGGAGTAACTAATTGAGTAAAAACCGAAAAATTGTGGGACACAGTTCTGGTGTTATGCTTCAGCGTTTAATCGGTATGAAACTTGGCCGAAATGCTCTGGGTGTAAGTGGGCCTTCTGATGCCTTTTGTCCAATATCCGTCACATTATCTGCTTTTTCACGCTTGGTTTTTACACAGGACCGTGGAGGGCTGATTTCAGCGTGGAGTCATGACATCAAAACACTCGCCTGTCTTGTTATTCTGTGTCACAGAGGAGCGATTTCCCCGCTGATTACTCGGTGTAATTTCAATTAGTGTTGGATTTTTCGTTAGGACAAAGGAATAAAAAAAAAAAGAAACAACAGAAACAAAACTAGATTTCCAAAATGAAAACAGGCTTGTTTCTGAAGTGGCGGAATGCAATCAGGCTTTGAAACTGTTTTCCTCCAAAACCGCCTCACCTCTGTCATAAGTTCTTACGGCATCATCTACCCATGAGAATAGCGCAGCGAGAAACTTGTGTCCTCAACGGGCATCATAATACAAGTGCTATTAAATGACAAGTTAAGTGTATGTTTTTAAAAAGGACAGGTCCTTCGCTCCACTTTTACTTTTCAGCCTTAGGTCATTCATTAACGCGATTGGACCTTTGTCATGGATTCCTGCCGGAGGGGACCTGACAAAGCTGCGGTAATAATTGGACTATTGGGGAACTTGTTAACAACAATTAGTGAGGTAATTATATAATTACTGCAATAACTGTTTTCTTCCTAAAGGGAAAGTGATGCATTTGCAAGCCAATAGGCTTGTGCCTAACAGTAGGCTACATGGGTAGAAATACAGAGGTCACCTTCATGTTAGGAAACGTCAGAGTAAAATAGTTTATTTTAAAAAGTAATTAAAAACTATAGTTTTAGAGCAACATTTATGTTATATATAAGCTATAAAGGAATGCTTATTTACGTGATGCAAGTGAAGTGTATTTAGATATATATAACAGGCCAAGAAAAAAGTAAAAACAGCAGAAATTAAATCTTTAGTATTATAATTATATCCACTTTAGCCCGTGTTATGGAAATACATTGCAGGTTATAGCCACTCCTCATGCCTCGCAGACCTGTTAAAATATGCAAACTTGGGCCCAAAAGTTGGCTCACCGTGAGCGGAGCAAATCGATGTACCGCCTCCCATTCAGATGGACCCGAGGCAGCACTGGTGCGCCCAAAAGGCTAATTGTTGAGCAGCAAGGCCACAGTAAAGAGAGCAGGTACACGAACAGGTGCACTGCAAAAGTAATATTGGAAATATTGACAGGATTTTCTGAAAAGCCACGCGACGGACCTGTTGGCAAAGCTCTGATCACACATCAAATGAAAACGGCATCATGAATTTCTATAGACTGCTCCTCGGGTTATTTAAAGACTTCTTACTTTGGTTTGGCAACATAATGGCCTGTGTTTGCTTGTGTGTGCCGGGGTTACCGCATGAAAAGGACAGAGGTGCACATTAACATCGCTTAAGGTTTTCTCAAGGGCCGAAATGAACTGACTGGAAAGTAACTTTATAACTCGCTGGAGGATGAAACCTTTGTTGGGCTCTGTTGTGAAAGACACAAGAGCCTGACAAAAGGAGGGCGCCTTTGTTAAACACTAAAGCGCAAGGGTATTGATGTGCCTTGAATTGCAAAACATCTGCCATTTACTCTGAACGACTAGAGCGAAATTTAAATGAAAATAACCAAGCAGTCTTTAGCGCGGTGTCTGTAGCCGTGCGTAAAACAACAGTCATATGAGCAACTTGGAAAACCCCCCTTTTTGTTTTTCAGGTTTAAACATCAAACCTTCCTTTGTCAGTGTGGCCAGATGGATCAACACACGACGCCCTCTTTAACTGTAATAGTGCAATACTTTTTTTTTTCTTTGCAGACGTTTAATCTAGTCTAAGTTCAACTCACAGTGTCTTACTTTAATGTTGACAGGTCCCTATAATGATAGAGGCTTGCTGGTGTGACTGCTTGTTGTGAGTAGAAAGACCACTGTGAATAGAGCTGCACGGACAGGTGCAAAAGTATTTCAGATGCTGAAGGGACTTTCTGAAAAGCCACGAGCTATTATGAAAGTTGTAGGTTCTGGTCAAATAACAGAAGACACAGATTTCCTCGGGATATTTAAAGGCTTATTAAAGACTCTTACTTTGGTTGGATACACTAAATTACGTGTTAATATTTAACAAAAGACCAGAACAAAAAAACGAAACGAAACACAACCCCCCCCCCAAAAAAAACCAAACAAACAAAAAAAGCAACCCAGCGATGAGACAGTTGAAGGCTTTGTGTTAAGGATGTGCAGACTGAAAAATTGCTCAAGTGCAGTCATTTAATTAGCCGTTGGCACTTTTAAACTTAGATTTAAAAGTTTCGCTAATATTCCAGTTTAACTGTTCCTAAACACAATAAGGAATTATTAACCCTTAACACTGAACTAATGGAAGCTATATGTTAATCTAAACTCGTGGTATGGACTCTGACCTTCGAGTGATCTGTGTCTTTCGATTAAAAAAAGGTATATAACGTTCAAGGAAAATCCCATATGGACACCAAATGCAAATTGCCTCCATTAAAATGTGTTTTGTTTTTCGCGTTTGGGGGGGACCAGTTGCTGACCAACTTTTTTTCCCATGGTTTTCTCTTTATCTGGGCAGAGTGGAAAATTGAAAGGTACAAGTCAAAAGGCGTGGGGCGTTACCCTGATTTTCCTCGCTCTATATTTTGTCAGACAGAAATGTGTGCCCCCTTAGCTGAACCAACTTTTTTTAAGGAAAGAAATTCATTCAATGCGAGGCTAATCCAAGTTTAAATTGGTAAATAGAAAAAAGCTGTTGGAGTCTGTTGTAAGTTGCAGATAGTCATATCACATTGGAAGCATAGGCTCATTTCACCCCAGTTAAATTGCTGAAGTTGGTAATCACACTGAAATTCTGCATAACATCGTGTGTGGCGAATGTAACTCTGAAATCAGTATGAAATTGTCAATTTGCTGGTGTCAGCGTATAGCCCTCCAAACGCGCCATATGCCATGCTAAGTGGCACCATTCACCAATTCGTTCCTACTTTCACGGTCCATCCTCCCCTTTTCCCTGCCAGGAAGCTGAATGGCCACAACAAAATGGCAATTTACCCTCTCGAATTGCTGCATACCCCCTGCGGGAAGGCTCTTTCCGTTTCACTACGCGGGGCATCCCAATCCTACTAAGCGTCACGACGTGAAACTTTGACTTTCAAATGGAAAGAGAAGTGTTTGACCATCAGTGCTGTCAGCGCTGTCTCAATAGTTTGTGTCTGGCTATAAATTTGACGGGACATCAAAGAAGAGAGTAACAAAACGAGGTTGGTAAAGAGGCCAAACAGCAAAAGTACACGTAACTAAATTAAAGAATATGAAGGGAAACGTTTGATCTCTGATCCAATAATAGCCTACAAAGAAAAACGAGTGAAGATCCTTGCATGTGATCATCTTTAAGATCACCAATAAACGCACACACTCGCCATTTTTTATGTTCTGTAGGCATAAAATGCATCCAAAGGAAATATATATCTCCCCTAAAAATGAACCATGTTCATCGATGTCAGTAAGGATAAGCGAAGACAGTAAGGTTTGTATTTCTTTAATTTAGTTTGTCAATATAACTTCACTATGAAGGCTATGCCTGCCAGCTATCAGTTTTACTCACGTTTACTGAATACCCGAACACCTATGGAAAAATCAAGCTGCTGGTATTCATTTAGCTCTTACTTTTAACTTATCACCCACCTGAACCATGCTGCTGAATAATCGAGAGTTAGTGGTTTAATTCACACCTGGACAGCCCGTCTCAGAGATGTCTGATAGGTTTTTGAATGCATTGGGCCTATTTTTAAAATTAAATTGAAATAAAAGTATGTTCACAAAATGACGGTCAGTCACAGCCTGGAAGTTATTCATAGTCGATGTAAAGCGGTGGTAAGTGTATAAATTCACAAGCTCAATTTGCCCAGAAGCCTGTATTCACTATCCAATTTTTGACAGTTCTTCACTGTAACATGTACAATTCTTTTCATAGTGCAATACAAAACTGCATATTTTTCACCAGAGTTTGGCTTTGCACTGGCAACGTTGAAGTACAGTATGGTTGAACCAATGGCCTGCTTGTAGGCACACTGTGAAGTGATGCCACCAAGTGGTCACATTTGTGTTACAGCAACCAAAAAAGAAAATAGGAAAACATCTTATTTCATGTTTTTTAATCACTGATTTTTACACAGCTGTTCATGAAAATATCAGAATTAGTACAGAATTCATTCATGTGTATATTTACTTCATGCTTCAAAGTGATGGAAATGCATATAACTTTAAAAGATTTTGAAAACTATACATCCATTCTTTAACATGATATACATAAACAGAAACCATAACCCCCAAATAGTTAATTTAATCTTGTGCCAGAATCCTACATAGCTGACTACAGATATGAGTTATGTGAAAGCTCTTTAGAATATAAAGCACATTTCTAAAGATAAAATTGTTTGCTTTAAGTAACTCAAGCATGATTTACATATATTTCAAAGAGGATTTGACATTAGAGCATTGAACTAAAAAAGATCCATCTATGACTTGTCTATCTGAAGTGATTGATACATTTCCTGAAGTGAGCTACTGGCTAATTGTTTTGGTATAATTTTGAATGAGACCTTGGAAGTACTGCTGTGTGTTTTTGTGGGGTTGAAAAAGAATGATGAAACATTTTGGGAGGAAATACCAAAACAGAAAAGAGTACAGGCTGGAAAGTACAGCCAGGGCACTAAGAAGCTGTATGTACTTCCCACGGTAAAGCATGCACTCTGTGGCGAAGATGATCCAAGTGAGGATCAGCAGGAGGAGGCAGAAGGTTATTGCTTTGGCCTCATTGTAGTTTTTAGGAAGGTTTTTGCCCATGTATGAGAAAATAAAGCAAAGAGTGCATATTGATGACAGTAAAATCACAGAAGCTGTAGATGCTTGTAGGCTGATGTCACAGCTGAGTATGATTTTGTCAGGGTACCAGGATGTTTCATTATAGGGGCTTGGAGGTTTACAAGAATAGCCAATAACGAGGAAGATTGCTTGAATGACAAATGCAACAACAATGACCAGCCACTGTCCGTTATATTTTACCCACCAACTGTGGAGCTTGGGGATCTTGGCTGCTATTTTAAAAATGCAAACAATCTGAAAAGAGCGCACAACAAAACATGCTAGACAAATAGTGTAGAATAAGAGAAATGGTAAGTATCTCAAAGTACAAAGAGGGACTGTCGGCTTACCAAAATGAAAGAATACACTAAGATTACTCAGACTTAGACAGCCTAAAATTAAGAAGCACATTGGTCCACCAGCAGATCTGACGACAGGTGTGTTGTAGTTGACTGAAAAGAGAACAGACATGGCTAACGTCATGCCCACAAATGCACAGGCCGCTACGAAGACCAGTGTAGCCACAATATCTGTGGCTGATATGTACTCCACAGCCCGCAGATTACATGATGTACTTCCCTCTTCAGACCATTCGATGTCCTTACACTTGAGGCAGGTGTATGGACTCTCTGTTTTACAAGAGACAATAAACCATATTAATAGATTTAAATTTGAAAATGTTCCGTTTTTGATCAAATTTGTTTGCATTATTCATAGCTTCATTACACCCTAAATAACTGTAATAACTGAAAAAACTGCATCAATACTATTGAGGAGACAGTGGTCCATTTAGTTTTTAAGGATCAAGGTGATTCTTTAAAACCACGTGAAATAAAAGTATAGTTATCTTTATGGGAAGAAACAAAGTACTAAAAACATTGTTACGGCACTTCTGTAGAATTTGGATATCTGTACTTTACTCTTTACTTTAGTATTCATTTTTCTAACAGCTTTTTACTCCCTACATTTTAACACAATTGTCTGTGCTATTCATTAGATTTTCAGAACAGGCTTGTTACTTCGGATTTTATGCATTTAAGGTAAGTTTCTCCCCCCAACATTGAGTGCCTTTCAACTGATTTGAGCTTAAATGGAGCTTATTGAAATAACAGAAGAAAGAGGCAAAAAACACATAATATATAATTTATGTATACTGTTTTGTATGATTTATATCATTATACTCAGGGGTTAAAGTAGGACAGAATGATGCATTCTTTATTTGTTTTTTGGTCCAGATGTCTGTAAGTTGTGGTCGCAGTTAGTGCTATATGATAGTACAAATTCAGGTATCAATCCAATACCACGTAAGTACCGGACCGGTATTGCTGATTCCAATAATGATACTGATACTTACAGCGTATTTAGGTGGGAGAACAACTTGTCATGATTTACTTATTTTCCACAACAATGAGTTAACATAAGAAAGCAGTTTTTTAGAGACCTGAAATGTAAATGTGCTTGTCTTTAAAGCTTTTTGAGTCAACTTCTGTTGATTAAATGTACTATATTGATGAGACCCTACAACAGATTTTAGTGTTTCCCAACCTGCCACACTTTAATTCCTGACTGTGCTCTTTCTTCTTAGGTGTGAAAAAGTTTGTATTTCCATTTACTAAATAAAAAAATATATTATATTAATACTTTTTATTAATACTTGTGCCTTTTCACTTTTATGTGAGCAAAAGAAGTTAAATCAGTACTTTGTTTTTTTAATCAAAGGTTTTTTTTTTAACACATACTGTATATCTAAACTTGTACTTAAAGAAAGTATGTACTTTTGCCATGATGAACCTGTATATTTAGTCACGTTGCAAACCATTACCCGTAATGTTGACGTAAGTTCCATTTGCACAGATTTCACAGTCGAAGCAGCATTCATAGATTCCATTTCGCTTTTTTATATATCCTGCAGGACATTCTGGGGAACATAAGGAAGTAGGTACCTGTACAAGACATTTATTTAGCACATAAAATAAGTTAAAAAAAAACAAAAAAAAAAGCATTTCTGAAGGGTAGCAACAGATTGGGGAGAAAAACCAACACAAAAAAGATGCTTTATATACAACAACAAATGCCAAAAACCCCCTGAAAAAAATAAAATAAAAACAAAGGATCTTTGATAGTGTGTTTTGACTTTGGTTGGTGCTGTTAAATCATCTTGAGACAAACAAACAAACAAACATTTTCATATATTATGTTTAACTAAATGTTGTATTAATAACAACAACAACAATAAAAACTTACTTCTCCATTGGTGTGCCATTCAATTTTGCTATCATCCACGAAGAAATGCACTTCTGAATTAAACTGATAAAATCCAATCTCCTGTGCATCACCACTGTTATTCCAGAAAACTACTGAATAGGATCCTTGCTTTAGATTTCCGTTGTCATCAAACTGAATACTATTATTTACAAGTGTAAAATTTGACTTCCTCAGCTCTGCTAGAACCTGATGTGTGCAGAAAAAATTACACAACCATTAATTCTTTGTATTTAAAAGAAAAAAAAAATCATATATTGATGATATAGATAGTAGACCTAAACTTTTTCACAATATGAAGTATGAACTATTGAAAAAGAGTTTGGTTTCAGAATTACAACAATACGTCATCTCAGTTTCAAACCACTTGCAGGCTATTGTTAAAAGATGGAATTCAACACAGTAGAAGGCAATTCCCTGTTCTAACTGCTTAGAAGCATAGAGAGTACTTTCTGTCAGTAATGACTTGGTAATATTTGGGTAATTTGGTAACAAGAAAGTAATAATATAGAAGTATCAAGTTATTATCAGTATCATAAAGTTCATTAGCAAATCATTATCCAAGAAACCAGTTGGTAGAAGTATATAGTTTATTATAGCATATAATATGATACAATGTATTAATATGGTGGTAGCAATATGATAACCTGTGCATTTAAATAAAAAAAAGAAAAGAAACACTTGTTGTAGTAAACTCGTAAAATATAATAAGGTAATATTGGTCAGTGCTTCAAGACTCTGGGACATATTTATCCTATTATAATGGTAAAACTAATCCTACATTGGTCCTCAGTATTTTTATTTGTTTCAAGATGAAAATGCAAAGACTGTGTTTTAATGTTGTGGCCTATTACCTGGAAGCATGTGGTATTAACCAGAAATCAGGGATGCAAAATGCAAGACCGCCAGTTTCTAACTACTGGCATATTATTGACATATTAGAAAAAAAAAACCTCCAGGAAGTGTCATGACTACCTGGAAACATGTGCAGTAGTTTCTACATTATAACCTGGATTCAGGAGTGCAAAAAAACCCTGGTTGTTAAAGTGTGTTTAACTGGAAAATGAAGCATATATAATCAAAGGAGCTTGCAAAGAAAAGCGTCTGGACTTCTTTAAGTTGCTTGAAGACGTTTCACCTCTCATCTGAGAAGCTTCTTCAGTTCTAAGGTCAAATGGTGGGGAATCCCAGATTTAAACCTAGTGGGAGTGTCCCCCGACAGAGGGACAAAAGGACCCCCTGATGATCCTCTAATCGCCTGAGCCAGTTTCACACCTTGGCTCAGGCAATTAGAGGATCATCAGGGGGTCCTTTTGTCCAATAACTTGTACTGTATTATAGTACATTATTACCACCTTTACATAACATTATTAGACAGTTCTCAGGATGATTAAAAAAAGGCTTGTATACTTACAATGTAGGGGTACACTGTGATATTGCTATCACATTTGTCAGCTCCACATCGTAAGGTATTGTGTAAGGCATGAGCAATGGCATATATGGCAGAGTAAATTGCAAAAGAGTATGATGGGTCTGCAGCAAAGATATCCTCAGGATTCATGCAACTACAGTTACATTTCTGATTGCAAAATGTGTCTTGCTCTGCATATTTACAATGAAGTTGGGCTTTGGAAGAATGCAAAAAATCACTGAAACCAGGTATTGTCACCACTGGCTCAGCTACTCCAAGTATGGTTCCAATGTTTTTGATTCCTTTTATTTTGGGGAGTTTTTTGTTCAAGGCCCATGCATCCCCTGCTATCCACACCTTATTTGTCACATTCAGTAGCATTGCTGACTCAATGAGAGGTTCAACATTGTTTTCTAGAGCAAAAACAATAATGACATTTATCTGTTTTGCCTCCATCTGTTTGAACGTTTGAGAGTAATTGGTGCTGTCACTCAGGCCTTTGGAATATGGTAGGCAGATCTCAGTATCCTTTATCCTCTGAGTGAACAAATCCAGACCATCATTACCATAATCATCATCACTGTTAAGGAAAGCAACCCAGCGCCAGTTGAATTTTTGCAAGATTCTTACAATCACATCTATCATGTTTAAATTGGAAGGCAATGTACGCAGGAACGATGGATATTTTGCCTTATTTGAGAACACAGAAGAAGAAGTTGCATAATTAACCTGTTAAATAGAAAATAATAGAGAATTTGATCATTTTCAGGTACAATAAATAATGACAAAAAGAAGTCATAATCTTTCTATAAAACTGTTTTTGTCATATTATTTGTTAACAACTTACCATAGGAACAAGATTTACCATGAATAGCGGGGCTACGGTCAGGGATTGAGTGCTTGTGAAAGGACCGACCACAGCTATTACTTTAGACAGAACACTTTGTTTGTCACTCCAAGGTTGTATTGAACCATTAGCTGAGATTAATTTCAAAACACCTGGAAAATTCTGCGTATCTGAGCAGTGGTCAAATATGTCATAGCCAAGAGATACATTTGGCAGTAAATTGGTAGAGTTATTAACTTGCTCTACAGAAAATCTTATCATCTGAAATCTCCGATAATTTGAGAATGTGAGTGGTTTACTGAGGACAAGAAGACAAGAGAACAGGATTAACCATAAAAATCGGAAATATTGCTTAAAAGCTTCGTATTTCTGTAGTTTTGTTATTATTACATAAATTCAATTGAACAAGGACACAGATCAGATTAAATTCTATACTACGTAGTTGGACTTTGTAAAGGCATCCAACTAGATTTATCATAAAACTTACGTGGTGCAATCGAGAGCTTCTGGTCTTTCATGATACACAGAGCCAGTGTCGTCATGAATGTGAAAAAGTCCACCTATCAAATAATCCCCTTCCAGCTGAAACTCTGACGCTGGGACAGTATGTTGAGTGCAGACATGTAGAAATGCTCCTAGCAGACAGAAAAATTCTAAAAAAGGTTTCATTGCTGAAGCTCTTTCTTAGTGTTCTGTTGTGCACTCTACCAAAATGTGCCTCTGCCTTTAGTGAGTTATGATACAGTGATGACTGTCCCCTCCCGTCATCATTTACATGCACATGGTGATGCTATAAATGGTTGAATGAACTTTCACAAATCAGTATGCAAAAGCATCCAAGCTGCTGTTTGTGCACAAAGTTGAACAACCATCACAAGCAAATTAGTGTAATGCTTCTATCTGGAATAACTCAATTAATCATTTCCTTCCTTTAGACATTATAACACATTTACTTTAGATTTTCTTTGACTCCGTGACAGATATGAGGTCTTTAAAATATCTTTGTCTTCTTTGGGCGCAACCAAAGCTAGAATTCTGAAATGCTGGCATAAATACTGGCATAAAACGTTTGGGCCTTGATTTAAAAGCCCTTTGGCTGGTTTTATGTTTTTAAATCATGTTACACTATCACAAAATCATTACATCCACCGTCAAACTATTTATTCGTATTTGTAGATATTTATTAAAATGACTGAAGCACACTAATGCTAATTACAAGCTGCTCTTTCCACTGCAGAAAATGTGCCAAAATGCATTTGTCCTTTGGAAGAAATGTGTACTTCAACTAAGATTGCACTAGGTCAGAGCAACAAAAGACAGAAAAACAACAACTCACCCCTTGATCATTACCAAACAGTAAGTGACCACATCCTCTTACAAATGATCCCTGTATAATTTAACATGTAACCACACAGGCCATTCAAAATTTGCAATCACTCAGCAGATGTAAGTGGTGAATGACAAGAACCCTAACCCAAATTTGAAGGTAACTCCCTGTTTGAAGGGCAGAACTTTCTGGTTCATATTAAGAGATAGGTCTCATCTGGTGAGACTGTGGGCTGATAAACAAAAAATGTGTTTCAACTATAACTCTGCATTAAGACCAAATGCAACAAAATATTACAAATAAACTTGCTTTAACTAGCAATAGTCAGTAGTTTGAAACACTTTCATATAGAATCAGTTATATGCTAATGGTTAAAGTCATTAGGCATAATAACAGTCATCTGTTTGTTTGTACTTTAATCCCAAAACATTTTCTTTACTTTATAATTAAAAGTGTATCTATTGCAGTTACGTTAGGTTTTGTATTATTATTATTATTATTATTATTATTATTATTATTATTATTATTATTATTATTATTAGTAGTAGTAGTAGTAGTAGTAGTAGTAGTAGTAGTAGTAGTAGTAGTATTAGTATTATTAGTATTATTATTATAAAGACAGAGACCCTGTCTTTAATGATAAAACATAGGTATGATGCTGTATATGCTGAGTCTGAAGGTGTGCCCATGAATATAAAAATCCCTCCATGGTACACAAATGCCTATGACTTTTTTTACTCTCCACCTTTGGCGAATTATACACACACGTGTAAAATGCCATTAGTTGGAAGGAAGATATCCTTCACAGCCACTGTATTCAAATATGGTGGAGGAACATCGGAACATACAGCACACCCACTCCTATGTATTTTTAAAAGATGCATTTTATGTTTATGAGAATGCATCAGTTTGTTGGAAGACGTAATTACACACTATATCTATGAATACATTATGATTTTTTTCCTAATAAATAATGCCAAAAAATGACCTTTAATGTAAAGCCTTGTTGTTAAAGCATCCAGTGCTTCTATCAGTGCACTGTGACATCATGACATCAAGAACACTGGACATTTAAACCTGTTTCCTTCTGACATGCAACATTGTCAATAAACAGTTTGCCAGAATATGATATTAGAGGTGAGATAACATAAAATTACATTATTACTTCTAAATAATAGAATTGAAATTTAAGGATGCTTGAGTACCCTTAAAAAGTGTCTAAACAAGGAGCAGAGCAGTGCTTTTGTATAAATGCTAGGTAAGTTTGCTAGAACGGGCGATTAATGATGGAAACCTCACAATTTATCATGAAAAGAGGCATTTTAGAAATCCACATTGTAATGAAGATGCAGCTACAGGTACTTGGACTAAATTCGGAACAATGAATGATAGTATACAAGGATGTTTTTAGTGAGATGTTGTATTACTATACTATACTCTAGGGCACAGGTGTCGAACTCCAGGCCTTGAGGGCCGGTGTCCTGGATCCAACACAGCTGATTTAAATGGCTAAATTACCTCCTCAATGTGCCTTGCAGTTCTACAGAAGTCTGGTAATGAACTAATCATTTGATTCAGGTGTGTTGACCCAGGATGTTATCTAAAACCTGTAGGACACCGGCCCTCGTGGCCTGGAATTCGACACCCCTGCTCTAGGGGGTACAGAACATCACTGAAAAATGTAAATAAACATCTCATGTCTTATCTACATGATCACTGATTTGTCTGTACCTTGCTTAAACAAGTTGCCTGTTGGGAAAACAAAGAGAGCACAATAACAAAGGGAAAATTACAAAACAACATTTTGCAGTTGGACAGAATTGGCTTCCAAACTTGATGTGTTGATAAATAAATTAAGTCTGGAGAATTCACGACTTGTCTAGTAATGGTTAAACTTTATTGGGTTTTGCTTATTAATTAAGCGCAATATGAGTGAAAAGCACTAGTACTGCTACTACTACAGAAAAACAAACAAAGAAAACCTATCCATTCAAGAAAAGTTTACATTTTATACAGTACACATAATTGCTTTCTTGTGAATAAGATGAGAGAATTGATACCACTCTCCTACGGCTTTGTTGAGAACAAGGTTCTACTCAGAACCAATTGATCGTAAAGCCTAGGAACAAGGTAAAAAACCAGATTATCTTGGTCCAAAGGAAAATATATATTTATGTAATTACATTGTAAACAGGTATTAATTAATTAATTGTCTTATCTCATTTAGAGATAATTTCATTTAGAGCAACATAAGTGTAAGTAAGACTGGTAACTTTTGAGAGAACAACATCTTCTCATTCATTTTCATCTAACTCTTGTCACAAAAATCCATAAGCATATTTACCAAAAGAGAACTCCTGATCTAAATAAGAAAATTACTTAAAAGCAACATTTTAGCAGAAGGTCCTGAGTACATTAGTTTTTCTGCCTGTGGAGACACAAAATTATTAGAGGCAGCTATTGGCTAATTGTTTTGGTATAATTTTGAATGAGACTTTGGAAGTACTTAGGTGTGTTTCGGTGTGGCTGAAAAATTATGATGTAACATTTTGGGAGGAAGTACCACAACAGAAAGCAGTAGAGGCTGGAGAGTACAGCCAGAGCATTAAACATTAGGATGAATTTCCCACGGTAAAGCATATATTGTGTGACAAAAACAATCCAGGTTAAGATCAGCAGGAGGAGACAAAAAGTTATTGCTTTGGCCTCATTGTAATTTTTTGGTAGGTCTTTTCCCATGTAGGAGAAAGCAAAGCAAAGAGAGCACAACAATAAAGGTAAAATCACAGAGCAAGATATTGCTTTAGGATTAATTTCACAATCAAGTAGGATTTTGTCTGGGTACCAAACTTTGTCTTGGTAGGGTTTGGGTGCAGCATATAAATAGCTAATAAGAAGCAAGAAAGCCTCAGTGATAAATGCCACAGTGATGACTAGGTGCTGTCCATGATATTTCATCCACCAACTGTGGAGTTTGGGTATCTGGGCTGCTATTTTGAAAATACAAACAATTTGAAAAGAGCGCACAACAAAACATGCTAAACAAATAGTGTAGAATAACAGAAATGGCAAGTATCTTAATACACAGAAAGCAACTGTTGGCTTGCCAAAGTAAAAAAATACACTAAGACTAGACAGACTGAGACAGCCTAAAATTAGGAAGCACATTGGTCCCCCAGCAGATTTGACAACAGGCGTGTTATAGTTAACAACAAAGAGAACAGACATGGATAATGTCATGCCCACTAAGGCCCAGGCACCGACCATGATCAGTATAGCCCAGTTGTCTGTAAATGGCATATACTCCACTACACGCAGATCACATGAAATACTTCCTTTTTTAGACCATTGTGTGTCTTTGCAGTTGATGCAGTTGTAGCGATCTTCTGTTTAGACAACAAAAGGACAGACCATCATTAAACTGATTTTTGAAAAAGAAAATGCTGCAGGTAACTTATGATACATGAAACTCTTAAAATAATTTACCTGTGATGTTGATATAGGTTCCATTTGGACATATTTCACAGTTAAAACAGCATTTGTGGATTCCAGTTTGCTTTTGTACATATCCAACAGGACATTCTGCTGAACATAATGAAGTAGGTACCTGTTCAAGGATATTATTTTGTAAAATATACAGACAACAGGAAAAGGACTGCAGCCACAGTTTTTAAAATTTAGGGCTGCTCACTAGATACTAACAACCACCATCTGTTTATTTACTCGATAGTATGTTTTGCCCCTGGAATAACTACACTAGTGTGTCTTTATGTACAAATGTATCATTTGAAAGGAAAAAAGATACAAAAAATGATGATTTGATTACTTTATACTGTCTAAAGTGTTGATATACTGTATGAAAAGATTCAAAAACACAACTTACATCTCCATCTGTGTACCATTTAATCATGGTGTTGTTGATGAAGAATTGAAGAGATGGATAAAAGCTGTAAAAGCCAATCTCCTGTGCATCTCCAGTCTGATTCCAGAAAACTACTGAGTATGATCCAGACTTGAAATCTCCATTCTCATCAAACTGAATATTCTGGTTTAAAAGTGTAAAGTTTGACTTCTGCAACTCTTCTAAAACCTGTTGTAGGCATAAAGAGGTAACTGTAACGGGATATTCACACCTATTACTTAGGCTGTTGAAATATCCCAGAGAAAGGAGAAACTGCAGAATGGTGAAACCTTTTACAGAAAGGGTACATTTTATGGATTTTGAGGACACAAGAAGTAGGAGGTAATGGCTGGATGGATGCATTTTAAGAGAGACGTAAGGTTTGATACTATGCCTATGCCCTCCACTTGATCAGGTACTCTGCTGGAATAATAATCTAGCCAAAGGAGTCCAGACTTTAACATGATTGG